TCAAATTAATGTTGATAAAAATGCANAAAAAGGTAATAATGTCAATTGACTTTATTTCGCACCAGGGTGGGAAATAAAGTCAATTGACCTTATTTCCGTTGATCTTATTCCCTGTCACCTAAACGAACACGATTTGGAAACAATTGGTACCAACTTGTACAAATTTTGTGCATAGTGAACACTCGTGTTGTGTGTCATGGAACTCATGATAAAAACATAACAAGGTAAAACCATTGAGAGGCAGTTTGACGTTTGCCAGCAATATAATTTAAAAATTTGAAAACTCAAACTCACACACACATTCCCATTTTCAATCTCAAATAACAACAATTGTGAACAATTTCATTTTTTTATTCTCAATTTTATATTAGTTTTATTCGCGTATTTTGGTAACTATCAAAATCTATCAGATTTTCCTTTTCACGTACACAAAAATCCAGCAAAGTAGGGGAAATTGAGAGACCAAATTGACATTTCATTCTGATGAAAAGCTGCTAGTTTCTGCTGAAAAATTTTTGCCAGCAAGAAAAACAGTTGATCAAAGTCTCCTGTTTTCAATTTATGAAAATATGGAAATTTCTTTAAGATTTATTATTATGATTTTTAAGTTTGAAATAACCAATTCGAACTGCAAATGTATCGGAAGAAAGCAAATACTCATTTACTCATATTTGATTAGCAAATTGCTTTAGGAAAACTTTTATTTTTATATTTTTCATGTTTTTTGTATGTAAACAAAATTTCGATCAGCTGTACTAAAAACTTGCAAGTTTTCGCTGATTTTGCGTTCGCGTACTTTTGTTAACATTTCTCTCTTTGAAAGGNGCCGGGGGGGCCGCGGCGTAGCGTGACGTGGTGTGCGCGCCGGTCGCGCGGTGTACGCGTGGTAAATGGTAATAATGTCAATTGACTTTATTTCGCACCAGGGTGGGAAATAAAGTCAATTGACCTTATTTCCGTTGATCTTATTCCCTGTCACCTAAACGAACACGATTTGGAAACAATTGGTACCAACTTGTACAAATTTTGTGCATAGTGAACACTCGTGTTGTGTGTCATGGAACTCATGATAAAAACATAACAAGGTAAAACCATTGAGAGGCAGTTTGACGTTTGCCAGCAATATAATTTAAAAATTTGAAAACTCAAACTCACACACACATTCCCATTTTCAATCTCAAATAACAACAATTGTGAACAATTTCATTTTTTTATTCTCAATTTTATATTAGTTTTATTCGCGTATTTTGGTAACTATCAAAATCTATCAGATTTTCCTTTTCACGTACACAAAAATCCAGCAAAGTAGGGGAAATTGAGAGACCAAATTGACATTTCATTCTGATGAAAAGCTGCTAGTTTCTGCTGAAAAATTTTTGCCAGCAAGAAAAACAGTTGATCAAAGTCTCCTGTTTTCAATTTATGAAAATATGGAAATTTCTTTAAGATTTATTATTATGATTTTTAAGTTTGAAATAACCAATTCGAACTGCAAATGTATCGGAAGAAAGCAAATACTCATTTACTCATATTTGATTAGCAAATTGCTTTAGGAAAACTTTTATTTTTATATTTTTCATGTTTTTTGTATGTAAACAAAATTTCGATCAGCTGTACTAAAAACTTGCAAGTTTTCGCTGATTTTGCGTTCGCGTACTTTTGTTAACATTTCTCTCTTTGAAAGGGAACAGATAAAAATTCATTAGAATTTTGCTGCTGAGAGTTTTCTGCTGGAAGAATACGCGAATACACCTATGATTTTAAAATGCTGGCAAACGTCAGAAAAACAATAATGGCCGACGAATTGAGAGAATGAATTTACCTTGTAATGTTTTTATCACGATGGAACTATTGCTGCTTCTTAAATCCTGATTATGGCAACTTAGAACGTAGAACTTAGAGAATCAAAATGAAACAGATTTCAACGTGGCATTAAGTTACGTTAAGTTTCGGCTGTTCAATTATATGCAACACTCATTTAACGATGGTACAATTATTAAAGGTATTGTCTTCCCAGAGAGTTTTGCTTCACATCGAAATTCGTGCTCCCTTATTTTCATTTTGACGCAGTTCAATGTTGATTCTTTTACTTTTTTTATTTGGCTTTGCTTTTTGTTTTCGCTCAATTTAATTTTTAAAATTTTCAAAACGAAAGAAAAAACGTTTGAAATGAAGTGAGCTATACAAATTTTGAATTTATTTACAAGCAAATGTTTTTTTTACCGGCTTTTGCACGTTAAATAAGTTCTCTGCAAGAAGGTTTGTTTAAAAAATACGAGTACATATATGGTATATGGGGTATGGAAATATCCCTTTTCCCAAGCAGTAAACGTTTTAGTGTGGGCAACAATGATATTTTTTAAATACGGCAGAGCGGAATATGCGCTCTCTGGGAAGACAGTACCTGTAATTATTGTACCATTTAACAGAATTTTTAAAAGAGAGCCGTAAGTTACGTTAAGTTGCCATAATCAGACCATTAGACTGGGTTCACACAGAGAAACTTTTGTTGCTCATCTTCGGCAATTTCTCTTTTGCTGTTGCCCTTCGCGTTCACACAAAGCAATTCTTTTGAACACAATTGTTAATGTCAGCTGTGACCGGCCAACTAGAATTACTCAGACAAACGAGAGCACAAAGCGTGTTGCCCGAGCACGAGCAACTCGGTGCCCTTCCCTCTTCCTCGTCACCCTCTACCACAAGTAACGAGTTGCCGCGACAAAAGTTTCTCTGTCTGAACCTAGATTTAGTGCTGCGACTCATTTCGGTATAACAAATTTGTTTAATGGCTCAATGAGAGAATTGAGCACTACACCAATTCCAACCAAAGGCGTTAGGGTTGTTGGGTTTTCCGGGCATACGAAGAGATGCTTCGAGTCATGAGGTGTCTCTCCGCATGCCGGACACTCATTCGGCACAGCCGCGTTCAGTCTGCTCAGGTATGAGTTTAACCTGCTGCAGTAGCCAGAGCGAAGTCGGGCTATTGTGGTTCTTGTCTCCCGAGGCAGATGAAGCTCCGTCTCGTCTATGTCCGGTGGTTGTGCGCCTAGAACGGCATTAACAGGTCTGGAGTTTACATAACTCGAGACTGACTCCCTGTGAATGCCCTTCAGGGCCTGTCGATATGCTTACGGGTCCAGAGGTTGTTTAATGAACCTCTGGACTTCGTCCGTCAGTTCGTAGAGATGCCTCCTGACGTGCATGGGCAAGGGCTCTTCTGCAAGCAGCTGCCCATTCGGGTCTATGGCTCCCGACAATGAACTGCTTGCAGACCATGGTGTTATGCTCCTTGACCGGGAGCAATTTCGCCTCGTCTTTTAGGTTGTGTTTAGGCGGCATCAGAATTCATCCAGTCGCTGTCCGTAGTGCAGTGTTTTGAGTTGTCTGCAGCTTCATCCACTGCGTCCTACTAGTCTTCGGCGACCACACTGATGCTGCGCAATTTAAAACTAGCCGGCCTATTGCCTTATATGTTGCCAGCAACGTTTCTTTTCTTTGTCCCCAAGTACTGCCGGCTAGTGACTTGAGGACCTTGTTGCGGTTCTGTACTTTATTGACAATAGCGGTTGCGTGCGCAGAGAAGGTGAGCAGACTGTCGAAGGTTACTCCGAGTATTTTGGGGTTATTCACCGTCGGAATTGGTGTATCATCGACGTGAATTTCCAGCGGTAGCCTGACCTCCTTCGTCCAGGTGGTGAACAAGGTCGCAGAGGATTTCATAGGGGAGAGGGTTAGGCTCCTTGCANAACGAGAGCACAAAGCGTGTTGCCCGAGCACGAGCAACTCGGTGCCCTTCCCTCTTCCTCGTCACCCTCTACCACAAGTAACGAGTTGCCGCGACAAAAGTTTCTCTGTCTGAACCTAGATTTAGTGCTGCGACTCATTTCGGTATAACAAATTTGTTTAATGGCTCAATGAGAGAATTGAGCACTACACCAATTCCAACCAAAGGCGTTAGGGTTGTTGGGTTTTCCGGGCATACGAAGAGATGCTTCGAGTCATGAGGTGTCTCTCCGCATGCCGGACACTCATTCGGCACAGCCGCGTTCAGTCTGCTCAGGTATGAGTTTAACCTGCTGCAGTAGCCAGAGCGAAGTCGGGCTATTGTGGTTCTTGTCTCCCGAGGCAGATGAAGCTCCGTCTCGTCTATGTCCGGTGGTTGTGCGCCTAGAACGGCATTAACAGGTCTGGAGTTTACATAACTCGAGACTGACTCCCTGTGAATGCCCTTCAGGGCCTGTCGATATGCTTACGGGTCCAGAGGTTGTTTAATGAACCTCTGGACTTCGTCCGTCAGTTCGTAGAGATGCCTCCTGACGTGCATGGGCAAGGGCTCTTCTGCAAGCAGCTGCCCATTCGGGTCTATGGCTCCCGACAATGAACTGCTTGCAGACCATGGTGTTATGCTCCTTGACCGGGAGCAATTTCGCCTCGTCTTTTAGGTTGTGTTTAGGCGGCATCAGAATTCATCCAGTCGCTGTCCGTAGTGCAGTGTTTTGAGTTGTCTGCAGCTTCATCCACTGCGTCCTACTAGTCTTCGGCGACCACACTGATGCTGCGCAATTTAAAACCAGCCGGCCTATTGCCTTATATGTTGCCAGCAACGTTTCTTTTCTTTGTCCCCAAGTACTGCCGGCTAGTGACTTGAGGACCTTGTTGCGGTTCTGTACTTTATTGACAATAGCGGTTGCGTGCGCAGAGAAGGTGAGCAGACTGTCGAAGGTTACTCCGAGTATTTTGGGGTTATTCACCGTCGGAATTGGTGTATCATCGACGTGAATTTCCAGCGGTAGCCTGACCTCCTTCGTCCAGGTGGTGAACAAGGTCGCAGAGGATTTCATAGGGGAGAGGGTTAGGCTCCTTGCAGTGAAGAAGCGAGAAAGCTCGGAGATATACCCGTTTACTTTCGAACACAAATCATCAATTTCATTCAAAGTCGCCAGGATCGAGCAATCGTCGGCGTAGGAGACAATCGAGACTCCCTCTGGTGGTTGAGGGAGCTTTGAAATGTAAAAGTTAAACAGTAGCGGGGAAAGGACACAACCCTGTGGAACCCCCTGTTTTATTTTTCTAAGTTTGCTCGATTTGTCTCAAAACATTACCGACGACTGTCGACCACTCAGATAATTCGCCGATCACCGATTGAGCCTCCGAGGGAGAGAGGAATCTTCTATATCTTCTAGTAGTGTGGAGTGGCTGACGGTGTTAAACGCCTTTGACAGGTTCAGCGCTACTAGAATAATTCTCTCACAGGGACGGTTGCAACAACAACATGTATATTCCATCGGCTCCTGTGGCGTTGGAGGCTTTCGCCTTCCCGATTGGCTTTGTCCACCGGAGGATGCAGTATGAACTGCCGGCTAAAATAGCTCCCACATCGCTCCGAGTCCGAAAGAAATTTCGACCCCGTCGTCGTGCTTCTTCGGATTGGACAGTGACCTCACGGTTGACCAAAGCTTACTCACTTCTTCCGCTTATATACGTTCACTAGTTGCCGAATCTCCGCGTTGAGACCCCTGATACGGGGATTTCCGGGATCGGCCTGACGAAGGCTGTCACGCACGTCGGCTAGAACAGCCGCTTCAGCAGGTAAATTTGGACGTGGGTCCGTAGTGCATCCTGCCGGTACGAAGAGAGCTGCAGCAGCAGTGACAATCCTGCGGAACTTGCGTTCACAAATGTGGACGTCGGCTGATGTGGGGGGCGCAGCGAAGGTGCTCTCAGTAAATTCCGCGAAGCCTTTCCATCAGCTTTAGAAAAGTTGATATAGGTCCGGTGTTCCGCGGAAGCAAAGTCGGTTGGTTTATCGATCGAGATGACTGTGGGCAGATGGTCTGATGCCAAGGTCAGCATAGGTCGCCATGATACGCTGTTTATCAGACCAGCGCTGAATATTGTTATGTCTGGCGAGCTGCAGCAGCTGCCCATAATCCTGGTGGGTGCGTCGTCGTTCATTGTGCAGAATGTCGAATCATCTATCTGCTCAGCCAAGTCTGTTCCCCTACGATCCTTTGACAGGCTTGAGTGCCAAAGATACGGTTTTCACCTCTGAGGAGCGCACCTAAGTGAGGGTGATATCCTGCCGGGCAGCAAGTGACAGGGGGTATATATACATTAAATATTTCGAGCTCAACATCGCCTGACCGGATAGCAATGCCCTGACATTCTAAGGTGGTATCCCTGCGGTCGATGTCTGCTTAAATAAGACGATACTGCACGGTGTGGTGCGGGATGAACGCTAAGCCACCACCATTATCTCGCTCACGATCTCGACGGTGCACGTTGTACCCGGCACAATTCAACAATGTTCAATTGCTGTGCAACTTCGTCTCTTGGACCGCAGCTATTAATATACCATGCCTTCCCATGAAGACGGTTATCTCCTCGATCTTGCTCTGAAGTCCGTTACAGTTGAATTGAAGGAGCATCATGTGGTTCGGGAGACGTGTAGTTATACGGGGTGTGAGGGATGTGTGTAGCCTTGTCGCCATTGGCTGTGTGCGCTGCTGTGGAGGTTGCCGCCCTGTGGTGGTAGTGGGTGGCGTCGCAATTGGGGTTTGCGATCGAGTGGCGCAACACGGGCCCTCGAAGTTCCTCGTCCAACCTCGCGTGGTGCGCAGACCTGAACATGCCCTAAAGTGGCACCAGCCAAGGCAGGTGTTGCACTTGACTGATTCACATTACGGAATATCCTGGTCTGACATACCGTGCAGATTGTAGAAGGAACCAGGAGTTGTTGGCGGCGGCGTGTGGGTGGTGGTGCGGTTGTGGTGCGGTTGTGTCCGTTATGTGGTCTGTCGTGGTTGTTGTTGTTGTTGTAGCGGTTACCAAGCCCCGCTCGTTTCGGTTCATCCGTCAACGTTGTAGTCTGTTTCAGCTAAGGGGAGGCCCAGGAAGTGTGCGACTTCCACAGGGTCTGTCCATAAGGACAGGGGCGTCAGCTGAGTGCATAGTTTAGAACCGGCCGGCCAATTGCCTTGTATGTTGCCAACAACGTTTCTTTATCTTTGCCCCAAATGCTGCCGGCCAGCGAGTTGAGGACATTGTTGCGGCTCTGTACTTTATTGGCAATTGCGGTTGTATGTGCCGAGAAAGAGAGCAGACTGTCCAAGGTAACTCCGAGAATTTTCGAGTTATTCACCGTCGGTATTGTTACGCCATCAACGTGAATACCCAGTTGCAGTCTGACCTCCTTCGTCCAGGTGGTGAATAGGGTTGCCGAGGATTTTTCAGGGGATATGGCAAGGCTCCTTGCAGTGAAGAAGCGAGAAAGTTCGGCGAGATAACCGTTTACTTTCGAGCACAAGTCATCAATTCCATTCCCAGACACCACGACACCCTCTGGTGGTTGAGGGAGCTTAGAGATGTATTAATTAAACAGTAGCCGGGACAGGACTCCACCCTGTGGTACCCCCTGTTTAATTTTACGTGGCTTGCTGGTTTTGTCTCTGAAAATTACTGACGAATGTCGACCACTCAGGTAATTCGCCGACCACCGTTTGAGTCCCTGTGGGAGAGAGGAGGCCTCTATGTCTTCTAGCAGCGTTGAATGACTGACAGTGTCGAACGCCTTGAACAGGTCCAACGCTACTAGAATAGTTGTAGTGTGGCCTATTGTGTTGTTGTGTTGTGGTGCTGTGGTGTCTGTGTTGAGCTGCTCAGGTGGACTGGGTTTAGCCGTGGAGGCTGCTCTTTTTGAGCAGCAGGGGGCCACAAAAGATGTGGCCCTATGGACGACCAAGTTCTGAGATACTTCGCCGACCTAAGCGGCGTTAGATCGCCGAAACAACAGCCCTTGGTCGAGGAATCGAGGGCTGTCGTGGGAATGTTGTACATGCTCTCGCTTTGTGTGCCGTGCGTAAAATAGGGTTAGTGCATATGTGTGAATATTCTTCAATGAATAATATCCACTAAAGCTGAAATTAGTCAAGAACGTAAACCTACCGGTACGTAAACCCGAGTCAGCTGACACGATCTGTCTTATCAGAGCGCCATGTAAATGAAAACTTAACACCGCAGAATTTTTCTGTAGTTTTAGCCCGTAGCGCAGAAATCTGCGGAATTTAGATTTTTCCGTGTCAGCTGATTTCTTCCTTGGGAAAATTTTCCAAAACGGATCCAGGCTTTGAAAAAAAAATATTACGAGCTTTTTCAGATTCTAAATCTGAAGACCCCCTTATAGTTTTTAAGTAATTCGCATTTAGAGTTGCAAAAAATACCGAATTCAACCTCACTTTTCCTTTGTGCACCAATTGAACTGAAATGTCGGTGCTGCCATACATACCAAAAAATGCCAAAAATACACAAAACGGAAGCAATAAACAATGCACATAATGTTTTATTCAAGGCGTATTAATAGATAATATATAATAATAATAGATAATATATTAATTCGCCTTGCTACCACCTTATATTAAATCGCCTTGCTACGCTAAAAGCAAAAACAAAATACACGTGCATATTGTTTTTGTAGGGATGCTATAACCTTATATTAATTCGCCTTGGTTTTATTAAAAATTTAAATGATTTATAGCGCGATTTATCGAAGTATCGATGTTACCTTTTTCGACCTTTTTGCAGAGGTCATGACAAAAATGCAACCCCCGACCACCTAGGCCCCCTATGGTTCCCTAGGGACCCCTTAGAAAAATTTCCAAAAATCACAATTTTTACTTGCGTCCATAGTATTTTTGCGTAGAATTCCTTTCTGCGTAGGCGGCCTTCGGCCGCACTTTAGGAGTATAACCCTTACCAAATAGAATTCTCCTTTTGGTGTGCACCAACTGGGGCTACCGCAGTGATGTAGCCTTGGGAAAGGATGAGGTAACTAGAATTCCCTTTCTGTGTGGTAAACCTGGGGCTGCTGCCCCAGTGATGTCTATTATGGTTACTGGGTGTTTTATAAAAATGTCTTGTATACAGTGTTGCCAGGTCTTCGTCATGAGAAAACGTCCCTCTTGGTCTAAAAAAAACGTAATTTTCTACCCAAAAACGTCTTTTTCAAATGCGTGCACAAATAATTGTTCTTATTAAACTTTTATTGTATACAAAGGTACATAAGTATGTATGTAAGGTATATTAAAATGTCATTTCGACAGAGCACATTTACAACTCATTGTAAACTGGTTTGAGATCGTTAATATAAAAATCATTTTATACATACACTTGTGATCAGCTTATTCAGTCATCAACATTTTGATCGATTGTGGCGTTTTTTTTTCGTTTTATTAATGTTTATTATTTTTCCATAAAAGCCTAGCTCATGATATAACAAACTAAATATTATAAAAAAAATCTGCAAAGTTTCAGCTAGATTTTCAACTTTTTATTCAGATTTTTAAGAATTTTTTTGAGCATTCAGCTTGATAGCCCATTAAATTTCAGGGTAATAATGTGCAAGTTTTAAGTTACTGAAGAATCGCGTTGATTTCTAATAATTTTTTTTTCTCGAGACATTTGGTTAGGTGGTCGGTTGTCGAAAATGATAAATTACGATCTGCTAGAATCATTACATTTTCGTTCATTACATTTTCAATGAACACAGAGAGCACAATTTTGACATTTCATTTGGAGGGGAAGTTGCAAATTCGTGCTGGGAAAATTTTTGCCAGTAAGAATTTGCAAGCAGGATTGTGGCACACGGTTGCATTTTTGTCAACATTAATTTGAATCAACAAGTTCGTTAAATTTAAAAATGAACAATCTTGTTGCGATTTACTAATGAAAGAAGTATGTAAATATTCGTTTATTAAATTAATTTAATTAATTCAAAACATTTGAAAGGTACTCGGCTACGTAATCGGAGCGCATTCGACACCACTGTCGATATAGGAAATCAGTAACAGTGACTTCCACAATGAAATTGAAGCGTATGTTGAAGAAAGTCAGAATAAGAAGAAATATACGTATAGGTCCTGTTTTGGTTTCCACCTGAAATAATTAAAAAAATTTATTATTTATTTTATATTTAACATTTTTCAAGCGAAAAACGCAAACGCATTATTCTCGAAGTATCGATTTTATAGTAAAAAGCCCAGCAGGCGAAAATTTGTAATGCGATTTTTTATTAAAAATTTTCGAAATATATGGAGCTATATTAAAAAAACTAAAGAATCAATAAAAAACGAAAATAATACGGTTTATAGGTGTATTTCATAGCGTCGAGAAGTATGGCAGCCACGGTTGCCGTTTTGGTCCAAATGGACCAAATTTGGTTCATTCCTTTTCGTTTGGTCCATTGGTCCAATTCTTTTTAAAATGGTCCATTTCACAAGCCTTTGGTTAGGTTGTTATCACCCTTTCACTTCATGCAATAGTTTCGCGTTTTCAATTTTTTCTATTTATTTGATGAATATTCCGTCCTATGTTGAGTATCGTCATCGTCAGTAAAAGTGGCGATACGGCCATCGTCAGCCATGTTACTGATGCACTGATGATTGTCGACGATGACGATGACGTANGATTTACTAATGAAAGAAGTATGTAAATATTCGTTTATTAAATTAATTTAATTAATTCAAAACATTTGAAAGGTACTCGGCTACGTAATCGGAGCGCATTCGACACCACTGTCGATATAGGAAATCAGTAACAGTGACTTCCACAATGAAATTGAAGCGTATGTTGAAGAAAGTCAGAATAAGAAGAAATATACGTATAGGTCCTGTTTTGGTTTCCACCTGAAATAATTAAAAAAATTTATTATTTATTTTATATTTAACATTTTTCAAGCGAAAAACGCAAACGCATTATTCTCGAAGTATCGATTTTATAGTAAAAAGCCCAGCAGGCGAAAATTTGTAATGCGATTTTTTATTAAAAATTTTCGAAATATATGGAGCTATATTAAAAAAACTAAAGAATCAATAAAAAACGAAAATAATACGGTTTATAGGTGTATTTCATAGCGTCGAGAAGTATGGCAGCCACGGTTGCCGTTTTGGTCCAAATGGACCAAATTTGGTTCATTCCTTTTCGTTTGGTCCATTGGTCCAATTCTTTTTAAAATGGTCCATTTCACAAGCCTTTGGTTAGGTTGTTATCACCCTTTCACTTCATGCAATAGTTTCGCGTTTTCAATTTTTTCTATTTATTTGATGAATATTCCGTCCTATGTTGAGTATCGTCATCGTCAGTAAAAGTGGCGATACGGCCATCGTCAGCCATGTTACTGATGCACTGATGATTGTCGACGATGACGATGACGTAATTCAGCATAGGGCCGATTGGCAACACCTGCTAAAAGTGTGAACTCGCCTTACCACTGATTTTCAAATATGGCGTGGCTAATAATCTGTCAAATCACGCTTAAAGAAATATCGCGGTTTCTTGCTAATTTCAATTATGGAAAGGTAGCAAAACTTTAATCATAGCATTTAGCACATGAAAATAATATTCAATTTCAATCGAAAAGATATGAAATATCTTGAAATTATTACACCACATAAGGTTCTTTCGACCAATTTTCTGCATTGGTAAATTATGCAGACATTATTGAATTTCAATTTCGCAAATTGAGGCTGAGTGAAGGTAACTTCAAAAACTGTACCAATATAGAGCGTTTTTGGGATCAAGTAGGTTTGATTAAAAATGGATTGGTGTGTAATTTAGTTCATAACATTTTTAGACGAAATTGAGAAACAAACTATAATTTAAAACTTTAAATAATAAAATGTTATTAATATACAATTGTAATGCACTTTGGATGCAATGTAAAAAAAATCGATATAAAAACTGAATTGGCATATTTTCTTGATGAAATAAAATTTCCTGATGTAATAAAAATTGGTCCGTTTTTTACCATTTGGTCCATTTTTTGGTCCGAAAAATAAGTTGGAAATGGCAACCGTGATGGCAACACACATTTGCTCTTACTGTCGGCCATTGTTATATGTTTGTTTGTGAAAAGTGCTAAAACGCGTGAACGAATTTATAGCAAGTCAATATTCTTTTTAAGTCTCATCAAAAAATTCCTTGTCGTTTAAAAAATAAAGGGAATGCCGCATTATACTAAAGCCGGCCTTTCGACATAAGCTACAATTCCATACGAACACAGAAATATATTCGGAAATTTAGAATTTGGCTTGATAAATTCACAAAATTTACGTTTTTCATAAAAATATGATCTTACAATGGACTTTTTTTTATTTTAAACTAACATTTTAGAAAACTCCATTCAATGCTATANGTTGTTATCACCCTTTCACTTCATGCAATAGTTTCGCGTTTTCAATTTTTTCTATTTATTTGATGAATATTCCGTCCTATGTTGAGTATCGTCATCGTCAGTAAAAGTGGCGATACGGCCATCGTCAGCCATGTTACTGATGCACTGATGATTGTCGACGATGACGATGACGTAATTCAGCATAGGGCCGATTGGCAACACCTGCTAAAAGTGTGAACTCGCCTTACCACTGATTTTCAAATATGGCGTGGCTAATAATCTGTCAAATCACGCTTAAAGAAATATCGCGGTTTCTTGCTAATTTCAATTATGGAAAGGTAGCAAAACTTTAATCATAGCATTTAGCACATGAAAATAATATTCAATTTCAATCGAAAAGATATGAAATATCTTGAAATTATTACACCACATAAGGTTCTTTCGACCAATTTTCTGCATTGGTAAATTATGCAGACATTATTGAATTTCAATTTCGCAAATTGAGGCTGAGTGAAGGTAACTTCAAAAACTGTACCAATATAGAGCGTTTTTGGGATCAAGTAGGTTTGATTAAAAATGGATTGGTGTGTAATTTAGTTCATAACATTTTTAGACGAAATTGAGAAACAAACTATAATTTAAAACTTTAAATAATAAAATGTTATTAATATACAATTGTAATGCACTTTGGATGCAATGTAAAAAAAATCGATATAAAAACTGAATTGGCATATTTTCTTGATGAAATAAAATTTCCTGATGTAATAAAAATTGGTCCGTTTTTTACCATTTGGTCCATTTTTTGGTCCGAAAAATAAGTTGGAAATGGCAACCGTGATGGCAACACACATTTGCTCTTACTGTCGGCCATTGTTATATGTTTGTTTGTGAAAAGTGCTAAAACGCGTGAACGAATTTATAGCAAGTCAATATTCTTTTTAAGTCTCATCAAAAAATTCCTTGTCGTTTAAAAAATAAAGGGAATGCCGCATTATACTAAAGCCGGCCTTTCGACATAAGCTACAATTCCATACGAACACAGAAATATATTCGGAAATTTAGAATTTGGCTTGATAAATTCACAAAATTTACGTTTTTCATAAAAATATGATCTTACAATGGACTTTTTTTTATTTTAAACTAACATTTTAGAAAACTCCATTCAATGCTATAATTACTATTTGAGCTTTCCAGTTTATAAAACACAAGCGTTAATTATGTAATTAACTATTTATATTAGTTTTCATTAAGCATGAATATCAGCATACTTCAAAGATGAATATTATACTTAACCTACATTTTGTTCATAAATAACACATAATTATGTATATTTTATCCTCGAAATGGACTTTTTCTAATCATGAGGCGAAATTCCCCACAGTAAGTGTTGCCGTGCGCGAAAAACGAAAGCGCCGCACACAACCCAAACGTACTCCTCGGGGACCAAATGGTGAAAAACTGCGAAAAGGTTTATTACTGTATATACTGTGGTATACAGACTGCGTTTAAGTATACGTTCTGCGTTCTTGACTAACTTCAGCTTAACACTACTTCTTGTGTTATTCAACCAATTACTTAAAAACACGAATTGCAGTTCCCTGGTGTACAACTCGGAGGAAAAACCTGTGAACCTGGCCTTGTGGGGACAAGCTAGTCATTCATCTAAACCCCTAAAATGCCAAAAAAAAAATGAAAAAAAAACATAGTGCAGCGGAGATTTTCGCCTCGGTGATTCTTAATTATTTTTAACACTAGGAATTTTCAAATAATTATTTTTTTGTGATCGTACTGTGAGGGCCCTGGGCAACGGCTCAGACGATCCGTGTTATAATCCCGCCATGAAAGGAGCTAATAGTACTTTTTAATGGAAGTTTGTTTTACATGTCACTTGCTCCGAGATAGTCGTCCGCATACAGAATATGTTGGAAAGGCTCGATTAAAACTACATCTGTTTCTGCCTCGATTCAGTGTTCTACATGGGATGGTTACCGCATTTTACATCTTCCCTTTGATCAGAGTCCGCGAACACCGCAACATTTTTGCAAGGTTGTGACAATATGTATTATGTCCGCTTTCGCATTTTACAATTTAGGTGTCAAAACACACAGCGAAGCATTCTTGGTATAATTTCCACCAAAATCCATTGTTAAATAAAACTAATGATACATTTTTCTTAATATTTGGTCATAGAAATGTATTTATTGTAAGTTATTAAATTTCTATTTTCGTAACAGTGGTTCAACTATATAGACATATCTGCATATGCACATGCGTATGTATTTATGTATCTATGTATATGATTATAAATTTCAACTAGTAAATAATTGTAAAATTTTTAAGCAAATTTTTAATTAGCTACTTTTAATTGGGTATGTCACAGTTATGTATATAAATTTATTATTAAAGAACCATTGGCAGGGATGATTGTTACTTCTACTGAAATTTTCACTAATTTTAAAATTACTTTACAATTAAATCTAAATGTTTCGTATCGACTTCCAGCGACGCAATAGTAGACATGCCGAAGTGAGTCCATTAGAGAATTGTGCGAATTCGCTAACATCTATGTTACGACTAGGCGTGTCAATTTTCTCCTTTATAACCTGTAAGGCATAAATAATAAATTACTTGACTAATAAATTGAACACAAAATTACCTTGTAGGATGCTGGAATTTCTAAAGGCGAACGATGTATAAGAGTGCCGTTAATATAAAGCATATTGGCAGCATGCTCCTCCGGTAGAGTGATTTTTTGGTATTTAAAACTGGCATCTCTTTCCATACGTTTGACAATTTCTTGACAGTAGTTACTACTGCTAACAGAAAAAACATCTGGACCAGCCATTGTTACATAATACTTTAAGCGCATGTTTCCACTAACCTACAATCAAAGGCATAATAAATGCTGGCTAAGCTTAATTGTTCCAAAAAATTTTAATTTTAGGACTCATATTACAAACATGGCGAAATTACCTTAATAGGCGTTACAGGATATTCTGGGAAAGCTACCGCTACAGCTTTTGCGCCATCTTCGTTCGTGTAGCTGGATATGCCCACAAAAAACTCACGTCCTGACAAATGTTAAAAAAACATATAATATTACATATAATATCATTATTAGAAGTTGCAAAAAAGTTGTTGGAATAAAAAAGGTGTTCACTATTATATACATTAGCGCATAGAAGGTGTGGGTTTTGGGGTTCAAACCCAAAGCATTTTTTTCTTGAAACCTGATTTAAGGAATTTTGATAGAAGAAAATTTCTTTTACATTTCTTGTGCGTCATCTTATGTGAATTTTTCGTTTTTCTTGAGAGCTAAAATATGCAATGCATACTCACGTACTGTTGTTTTTTTTTTACATTTTACAGCCTAAAAGACTTTACCACTGATATGTACTTAACAAGGATTCGAAGATTTAATTTACCAACTTCGAATTCGCTCCACCATGAGCCACATAATAAAAATACAAGTTCAGTTAATTTTTTCAGTATTCGAAAAATTAAAATCGTGAAAAATCACCATCTTCATCGAAAACCGGAAATCAGAAATCGAAGAAAATGAACATCAAATCACTTTTTCGCATTTTTATTACTTTTGAAAGTTGAGCGCATCTTGTGTTTGTAGAAATTTTTATTAAACAAGTAATTTTTTAGCAAAAACCACAACCGACTTCAATTCTCATATTAAAATTTATGAGTACCTTTAATTTTTTCATGATCCAATGATCGGATCTAAACCAAATCGCGGGACGATCCTCGAGGTACCATCTTTCCGATAAAAAAAGAATTATTGAAATCAGTTCACGTGATCCAAAGTTATGCGGTAGCATACATAAAAATAGAAAAAATATTCCGTCGAATCAATAACCTCCTCCTTTTTTGAAGTCGGTTAAAAGTGTTTGAGTTCTTTGTTAATTTTATATAAAAAGTGCAGTTTATGAAACTTTAAAAAGTTTATTTATTACATTCTGTACATAAAACTAGCATACATGTATTTTAAATAGCATATTATCTGAAGGGAATTTTCAGTATTTTCTGGTGATATATATTTAGAAGTATAAACTCGGGGTTTACCCGACCAAGGGCTGTTGATTCGGCGATTTAGCCGGTGATATATCTTAGACGTTGTTCGTCCATAGGGCTACATCTTCCACGTACTCTTCTGCTCAGGGCTTCCACCTGATGCGTGTGCCAGAGATGACTACACCACAATTCCACCGTCGAGATCGCGAGCGAGGTAATGGTGGTGGCCTAGCGTTCATCACGCACCACACCGTGCAGTATCGTCTCATCGAAGCAGACATTGACCGCAGGGATACCAGAGGCATCTACATATATGAACTGACCGACGAAGTCCAGAGCAGACTAGATGCGGATGTGCCCAATGAGTGTCCGGCATGCGGAGAGACATCCCACGACTCGAAACATCTCTTTGCATGCCCACAAAACTCCACTCAACTGACGCATTTGTCCCTATGGACAGACACCATAGAGGCTGCACACTTCTTGGGTCTCCCGTTAGTTGAGCTTGACGACAACGACTGAGAGACTAGCCGATGTGGCAAACGACAATACGACACTTACGATATCTTGTGAACCATCTTACTATTTTTTTACGTTTGAATTGAGTTTTTAGGTTGTATCAAATTGACCGCAAGGGAATCTTTCGTGACGTTTTGTAATCGACGGATGCGTGNAGCTTGACGACAACGACTGAGAGACTAGCCGATGTGGCAAACGACAATACGACACTTACGAATTGAATTGAGTTTTTAGGTTGTATCAAATTGACCGCAAGGGAATCTTTCGTGACGTTTTGTAATCGACGGATGCGTTTTAAACTTTTACTTCAATCTACACTTGTAAGTAGTTACAGCATTGGGAGAGTAAAGCTGCTTTTTTGTGAGTCGATTTCCGTCGACTGGAAAATCGACTAGCCAAAGCATTTACATTTTACGGTTGAGAAGCCATTTACACGGCTTATTCTGAAGATATTGTTGTACATATTATATATATATCTGGGGCAAAGACAAAGAAATGTTGCTGACAACATGCAAGGCAATTGGCCGGTTCTAAACTACCCAGCACCAATANGGGGCAAAGACAAAGAAATGTTGCTGACAACATGCAAGGCAATTGGCCGGCCGGTTCTAAACTACCCAGCACCAATGTGGTCGCCGGGGACTAGCAGGATGCAGTGCACGAAGCTACTAAGATAGCAAAACACGGCACTCCAAACCGCTTCCGGATGCCTTCTGGTGATGCCACATCACGCCCTACATGACGAGGCTCCCCGTCAGGGAGCAGAAAACTATGCTATGAAAGCAGTTCCTAGTAGGATGCGACAGACGCACAGTGGTTCGGATCGCAAATCTAGCTGGACGAAACTATTTAAACAAATACTCGTTGATGGATCTTTACACCACTTCTTACCTAGGGGATTTTTGAGTCGCTGATTACGAATCTGAAGTCACTTATCAAAAATTCAAAATGGCGAATCCAATATGGCGGACGAAAATTTTAAAAAATCGTAAGATTTCTATGTAACTGGGTATCTGGGGATTTTCTGCGTTGCTGATTACGAATCTAAAGTCATTTACGTAATTTACTTTATTTACTTCGGAACGAGCATTTTCAGCAGATATTTCTTTCAATTTACTAATCACATATCACGGACACCTTGTTGTCTTTTAGAAGTTTCTGCAACACCAAATGTCAAACAACTCACTTCTTAAGATTTTATTTACCATGACTAAAATTTAAGATCACAAATAAACTTCAGAAAAAATTTTTTAACAGCGCTTAAAGATTTGCATGCCTGTTGTATAATTTTTTAATTTCAGAAAGCAGAAAATTCGCGAGCTACTATTTTTTTTAACTCTTACATAACCAAAGTTTTTATAACTCCAAGAATTTTTGTGTTTTAACACAAACAAGTTAAATTTCAGCTTTTAAAATTTTTTTGTTTTGTTTTTGTTTGTTTTCATATGTTAATGCTTTAATAAATGCAATTTCTATTTGAATGTATTGTCAGGAATGTATTCCAAGTACCATTAAGTATTTTAAAAACAAAAAAATTTTGACTTTCGTCCAGCTAGATCTGCTATCCGAACCACTGTGAGACGTGGGCACCTGCTTGCCGCAGACCCCTCGCTAGGCACGTCAGAAAGCATCTATACGAACCAGCGGACGAAGTCCAAAGGTTCATAAAGCAACCTATGGACCCTACAGCGAACCGACAGGGCATAAACGGTATTCACAGGGAGTCGATCTCAACTAACACCAACTCCCGACCTATGAATGCCGCTTTGTAAACACAGCCATCTAACATGGACGAGAGAGAGCTTCACCGGCCTCCGGAGACTCGCAGGCTAGGATAAATTCTGGTTTTCTCAATGAGTACCCGGCATGCAGAGAGTCACCTCACGACTCGATACATCTCTTCGCATGACCCCGAAACCCCACTCATTTATGCAACAAATCTTAATTGTTATTATACCTTTCATGAGCATGAAATGGTATTAAATATAACTTTGGTCCGATGTTTGTAAGTACCAAAATAAGAAGAGATATACCCATTAAAATTTATACGTAAATGATCAGAACGTCGAACTGAGTCGATTTAGCCAAGGCCGTCTGTTCGTCTGTTTGTATGCAATCTAGTCTCTCAGTTTTCGAGATATCCGGACGAAATTTGGTAGGTGGGTGTATTTTTATAATGTATTAATCATTTGTCGGATCCGGAAGAATCGGACCACTATAACTTATAGCTCCCATACAACTGATTGTTCAGATATGAGGTTTTTCGTTATAACTTCTCCATTTATGCAGCTAGGAACATGAAATTTTGCAATACCCATTATCAACAGAAAACTTAGAGTGAAAATTACAAAGATAGGGTTACTATAACCTATAGCTTCCATACAACTGATTGTTCAGATATAAAATTTTTCGTTATAACTTTTCCACTTATGCAGCTAGGAACATGAAATTTTGCAATACCCATTATCAACAGAAAACTTAGAGTGAAAATTACAAAGATAGGGTTACTATAACCTATAGCTTCCATACAACTGATTGTTCAGATATAAAATTTTTCGTTATAACTTTTCCACTTATGCAGCTAGGAACATGAAATTTCGCAATATTTCCACCCATTCTCAAAGAAATACTTACAGTGAAAATGGCGAAGATCGGGTCGCTATAACTTATAGCCTCCATACAACTGATTGTTCAGATATGAGATTCTTTGTTATAACTGCTCCATATATGCAGCTAGAAACACGGAATTGCGCACTATTTTCACTCATTATCAACAGAAAGTTTACAGTAAAATTAACAAAGATCGGGTCACTATAACCTATTTATTGCCTGCATACAACCTATTGTTCAGATATGGGGTTTTACTCTAAAACTCCTTTATTTGGACAGCTAAAACCGATAAATTTCGTAAGCGATTTTATAAATAATAATACAAAGTCTACTGAGAAAATCGTCAAAATCTATGCTGTATAAGCTTTATCTCTTATACCTCCTTTATGTAGGAAGCTAAACCCATTAAATTATGTTACAGGTTTATATACCGATCACACGCAGTCAAAATCACTTAGATTGTTGCTATATAAGGGATATCGTCCAAACCTCTGATTGTTTAGATATGATTTTTTATATATGTATCTCCTCTATCTATGTATGCTGTGAATATATAAATTTTTTCAAATGCAGTAATCTGTTAAAGTAAAATTTTCAGATGTTGATGAAAGGTGTGAAGCCTTCGGTATAGCCGTAGACAGCGCTGCTCTTACTTGTTTTATATTTAATAAACACTAACACTTTTGGTGTACCCAATGATTTTGCTTGGGTTGTCCCACGTATATGATACTTTGTGGTCTGTCAGACCACAACATATGGTTAAGCGCATTTCAAGTCACTAGTTTATTATCTTAATTGAATATAGTTAAAAAAAACAAACATACCAGTAAACAAAACATCGCCACCGTCTAGCAAAGCATTTCGAATGTTGGGGTTAACAACGGGTACGTCGAGTTCTTTTTTCAAAATTATTTCCATACTGTCAGCCTGGTTAAGAGAAGCAAATAATATCGTTAAATTTAAAATATCCGCACATAATGTATACCTACCTCTCTTTGCCGCAAAAAATTGTCTGACTTGCTAATGAGCGCTACTCCATTGCATATGATCGCTGCATTTTCCACAAAAACTCCCTCCGGCAAGGTTTCATCTGGTGGTAGCTCTATCACATCTAATCCAACCTCCCTCAGCAATGAACAAAATTCTTGATGCTGTTTTTTTGCTAAATTATAATTGAATTCACCCGATTGCTTCAGCGATTCTGAAATTCTAATGCAACATTTAAAAGGTGCTTAAATATTACTTTTTCCAATTTTTTTTTGTAAGTTTTATACACTAGCCAGAGTACAGAGTACAGTGTTTTTTTTAATATTTGCAATGTTTTTCGTAATAAATTTTTTTCGTTAATTTTTAATAGAAATATAGGTCATTCTGCATCAAATGGCATATAAATTAATGATTAAAAGTTTTTACAAAATTTAGGAAAATTCGAAAAATTTTCACCAAAATTTTCAACATTTGAACCAAATTTTTTAGATTTTTAATGATGTTGCTCATTTTCTCCATATAGCGGATGCGTGATAGTTTTTTTGTATGGGAAAAAATACCGAAGAGCGCCGTAAAAAAATTCTCAAAAATCAACGGTAGATTATAGCCACTTAAAACTTGCATTTTATTATACTAAAATTGGNAAATACCGAAGAGCGCCGTAAAAAAATTCTCAAAAATCAACGGTAGATTACAGCCACTTAAAACTTGCATTTTATTATACTAAAATTGGGTGACCTACAAACCTGCATACTCAAAAAAATTAGAAGTTTAAAATTTTGGTAAAAATTTGTCGAATTTTCGAATTTTGAATCATTAATTTATATGCCATTTGATGCAGAATGAACTATATTTCTATTAAAAATTAACGAAAAAAATTTATTACAAAAAACATTGCAAATATTTAAGAAAAAAAGCACCGTACGGAGACATATTCTGGCTAGTGTATATCGACTAAGGCTGTGTAATTATTCGAGCAATTTGATTAATCAGTTGTACGGTTAATGAATTACTCGAATAGTCAAGATTTTGGATTACTCAAAACAATGAATAACCGAGTTACTTAAAATATAATTACTCAAAAACACGAATTTTGCTCGTTTAAACAGTTTGCATTGGAAAATGCCGTACTATGCAGTACTTCCAAGCAGTGTACTTCAGTGTAGCGTTGACATCAAAACAAAATGTTCTATAGTAAGCTGCGCAACAATAGAAACACTTCAGCATTCGAAATAGAGTTTGCTACAGCGACGACAACGCTTGAGTTCTATTGTGAAGCAAACTGTAAAACCAAAAATAAGGGGTGAAGTAAAATAAAGGCAAATCATAGCAAAATCACCGACCAGTGAATAACAACGTGTTTGTTGTAATTTTGACAAGATCGGCATGCTTATTTTCAGTGCTGCCGATCACCATTTTTATACTGCTATTCTTTGGGAAATAGTATCTAAAATACTCCATATTAGTAATTCGTTTTGTCGCAATTTTTTAAGAACTTGGTGTTTTCAGAACGATATCAATATTTAAAATTGCTGGATTTGTATAAGTTTTGCCCTCAAAATGTAAAAAAATAAAGGATATAAAAAATAAAGATATAATAATAGATTGGCGCTTACACATATGTTAGTGTTTGGCCGAGCTTCTCCTCCGATTTGTGGCGTGCGCCTTGATGTTGTCACACAAAGAGGAGGGGCCTACAGTTTTACGCCGACTCCGAACGGCGACTGTATTTTAATGAGAAGCTGTTTTTCATGGCAGAAATACACTCGGAGATTTGCCATTGCCTGCCGAGGAGCGACCGCTGCGCTGAGTAGTTGATTTTGCTTACACAGTCAGCCGAAGCAACCAGTTTAGAAAAATTTGCTGTTGCTGCAAGCAGTAAAGCTGATGCCAGATAAAACTTTGTGGCTTTGCGTGACATTTATAACTTTGCCAGCAAAGCGCCAGACGCAAAAGGTACGACGATGTCATTGGCGGTGGGAACTGTCGCCCAGTGCATTACTTTGCAACTAGTTTTTAACCGGTTCCGTTTTGGAGTTTTTTTTATAAAAAAACGTTTTTTAAGATTGAAGTATGGATATTTTTTTCTTTTCTTTTACAGATTCCATTTTTGTTACATATTTTATGAAAAACAAGTAATTTTTAGCAAAAAAAAAGCCGACTTAAAAAAATATATATATGTGACCTGGTCTACGAAAAGGGAGCTTACGTGCGAAAACTAGTTTTCTGTGAAAAAGCTGTTAAAAGTAAGCAACTCGTTTCGTCAGTTTCTCATTATCTCGTTAATTGTTCTCCGCGCCGGACGTCCAGTAAGTGTTGTTGTTGGTC